GTGGCCATGTTGACTACATCTTGGATGCGGTTATCGAGGAAGGCCCAGGTGTCCTGGTAGTCTGGAGAGGAATCCTGAATCATCACCAGCTCTGTGGTGTTGTAGATGCCCGTCAGCGCCGCCCGCTTTGTGTACCAATTCATCTACAACAGAAATGAGTCCTGCAGTTTTACTCCTAGTCCACATTTAGTTCAAGGTAAACTCAAAAGTAAAGTAAGTAAAACGGATGCAGTGGCACATAAAAGGTCAGCTTTAAAGAAGAGCACACAGGAGACTGCACCAGAAAACAGTGCTGTGCAAAAGCCTTGAACTGCCACTCATTTCTTTAGATTTTGCCAGGAAAATGATTGCACTGCTTTATCGCAACATGCAAACTTAAATGTAAATACAACAAGAGCCAACATGGGGCTGTTTAGTTAGCTACAGCTTAGACAATACGTATGTGATAGTGGTGATTTTGTCCTTGCACACAGTGTGAGAGCATGCATTGCCTGCAAATTTAAGCACGGCTGAAGTTTGTGTTACGGCTGCAGGTGTCAATAGTTTTCCGAGGTTACACCTTTACTGAAACAAATCAAATATTACCAATTACTACAAATGTATCAATAAAAAAAAAAAGTAAAACGATCACTCATGAGAAGGTCGTTAGCCCTCTTTTTCTCTTTGTTAGTCAAACAGTATCTGTGATATAATCTGCTGACTGGAGCGATCATTCGCTGTTTTTATTTAAATGCTCAAGTGGCACCTGCCAGCCAATAAGAAACAAGTATTTTCAGTGCACCAGCAAGGACAAAGTGAGGTGTCGATAGGGGCAGTAACCTGGGAGGTGGCAGGTCGGATATTTTGAGGGTGGTGATGAAAGGGGGACAGGAAGCTATGAGGAGGAGGAGAAGAAGAAGAAGAAGAAGAAGGGTGACAGGATCCACTCACGTCTGTGGATCGGTCTCCGGCGTAGTACCAGATGTCGTCCATCAGCGTGGAGAGGTGCTTCAGGCTGTCGGGGATGTTGTGGGGAAGCAGCAGTAGGCTCATCGCCTGAGAAGACAATATCAAGTAAAGCTTCCTGACCTGTGAGCACACTCAGAAGCTCATATTCTCAGTGTTCCATGCTGTACCTGTGGCCATGTTTCGATGTAGGGGATGTACATGCGCAGTCTGGTCTCTACAGCGTCTCTTATAAAATCTGCAGTCTTCTTTGGTCTGCAAGAGAAATCTGTCATTTTACATCTTTCACATTTTTTCATATTACCTGTCCCGCTGAGTGCTTTATTTTCCAGCCTAAAGCGTAGGTGAGTAATCGACCTGAATTAAACCTGAGCTCAAGCTGAATCTGCACAGTTTCCCTAAACTACTCACTCATCCATCCAAATCATTGAATTCAGGTGTTCCAGTCACCTCCATGGCCACAGATAAATAAAATCAAGTCCCTAGAGGCCTGTAGGCTGCTGTCAGTCACTGCAAACCTCCAAACTTCATGTGGCCTTTAGATTAGCTCAAGAACAGTGCACAGAGAGCATTATTGAATATGTTTATGGCCGAGCAGCTGCATCCAAGCGTTAGATCACCAAGCACAATGCAAAGCATCAGATGCAGTGGTGTAAAGCACAACGGCACTGGACTCTCGAGCAGTTGAAACGTGTTCTCTGGAGAGATGAATTACATGTCTAGCAATCGGATGGATGAGTCTGGGTTAGCACAGTGCAGACTGACTAGTACCGCTGTCCTGGCAACCGGCAAAGTGTAAAGTTTGGTGTAGGAGGGATTATAGTGTGGGAATGTTTTTCAGGAATTGGGCTCGGCCTCTTAGTTCCAGTGAAAGGAACTCTTAATGCTTCAACACATCAAAGGTTTTAGATAATGTCATGATCAAGTGCATATGTTTGTGAAGGCAGAGAGCAAATACTTGTGACAATATAGTGTAGCTGAACTGCAAAGTGAGCTGCTGTGTATACATACTCAGCCTGGCCCAGCTGGACCTGATTGTGCTGTTCAGCCAGGATCTCCGTCAGCTGCGCATTGCACTGAGCGATGAAATGTAGGACCAGGTCTCCGGATCCTTTCTCGAACATACCGGTGGAAGCAGAAGACAAACCCAGACTCTGGTACAGACACAACAACCACAGCGTTAACGGTGCAGCTTACATACGAACACAGGGCTACACGATAAAGTCTTTGAACTACTCTCTCACCTCAGCACCAGCTGCGATAGCTTCCATCGACCAGCCGTGCAGAGGAACAAACTCCAGAGCGGCAGTCAGGATTCGAGCCTGAAGCTGCTCCTCTGTTTCATACTCCTCATCTTGCTCCCCGCTCTGATCCTGGTAGCTTCACAAAGACAAACGGCAATGTGAGACGAAGTGTAGCTCTCCCACATCAGAAAGCATCTTGTAAAATTCCTGTTGAATGACAGAAGTGACTAATGTAACGATTACTGACCTGGTGTTTGGATCGGTAGACTGGTCGGCTGCCGGATCGGAAGCAGAAGCCGCCGTGTCCTGTTCAGCAGAGCGAGCCTGGTAGTGCTCATGGTAGGTGGTGGATGAGGAGGTTGAGGAGGGAGGCTTGTCAGATTTGGACTCATCCTGAAGCCTCAGCCCTGCACAGTGGAAGCCTCGTCTCAGACTGCCGCACTGAGGGTTTGTTGCTGTTGGTGCAGCCACCACTGGAGCATACAAATATATGGATTTACTTCCACAGATTCATTTTTAATACGGTGTACTTGTCTATTTCTCGTAATAATCGTGCTGTATCGAATCTCTATCGCCTGTCACTTTCCTCCCAGTGTGTGCTGTTGTTGTTCACACTTTTACCAAACTTTTAGAAAAAGGATTAAATGTGACAAACCACAGTACAAAGTCTCACATTTACATTAAACTCAAGCTCAGTGAAACCTGTACAATTTATCACATGGTATGACTTTATTTCCCCATCTGTTACACTTAAGAGAAATATTGGTGAGAATGCTGCACTAAATACTTGTTATACTACACTCATTGGTCACTACATCAGCTGCTTGTTAAGGCAAATATCTAATCAGCCAATCATGTGTCAGCTATTCAGTGTATACTGGCATATAGATATGGTCAAGATGACCTGCTGAAGTTTAAACTGAGCATCAGAATGGGAGGAAAAATGACTTTGAAAGCACCATGGTTGTTGTGAGAGAAAATTTCAGAAACTGATGACCTGCTGGGAATTTCCCCACACAACCATCTCTAGTTTACAGAGAACGGTCTGAAAAGAGAAAATATCCAGTGAAAAGCAGAAGAACATCTCTGAACGCACAACGCTGGAAAAATGTTGCCTGGTCTGATGACTGTCGATCCTCGTCTCAACAGTTCAGGCTGGTGGTGGTTTAATAAGGTGGGGGAATTTCCCTGGCACGCTTCTTGAAACCAGCTGAACACCATTCAAACACCACAGCTTGAGTATTGTTGCTGACCATCTCCTTATGACCATCTTCCGATGGCTGCTTCCAGCAGGATGAACACGTCACATCATCTCAAACTGGTTTCTTGAACATAAAAAGAGTTCACTGTACTCAAATGGCCTCCAGTCACCAGTCCTTTGGGATGTTGTAGAACACATTCATAGATGTGCAGCTGATAAATCTATAGTCTCGGTGTGATGCATTCATGTCAACATGGACCAAAATCTCAGAGGAAAGTTTCCAGCACCTTGCTGAATCTGAGCCATGAAGATTTAAAGCACCTCTGAAGGAGAAAGGGGGTCTAGCACAGTGCTAGCACCTAATAAAGTGACCTGTCAGTACAGGACATATGGACTTAGCTTTATTCATTACTATTACATATATTGTATATATTTTCTATCAAATTATTCCAATAAAATGTGGGCAAATTATAAAAAAATACCCCAGTATTCCAACGGGAGCATTTTAAAACTGATTTACTATACTAACTCAGTATAAATTAGGTTGTTTAGGTATCAAACGATTGATAGCTTTCATAGTTTAAGTGTGTATTTCAGTGGAAAATGTGCGGTTTGGTACATTTTTTGCAAACTCTAATCAACAAATACTCAAGCTTTACCGTAAATAGACTCCGATAGGAGACTGCACGTGTGTGTGTTTCACAGAACTTGCAATGATAGAGGAAAAGGGAGCTATAATTGGGGGTTTCATTAGAAACGCTCAGACAGCTTGTATAACTGCAGACAGCACGCCCCCTCCCGGTGTAGGAACCTGTTTACGTGTTTACCCTGCAGTCACCTGTGAGGTCTGCCCGGCAGAGCCAACCCGGATACTACAAACCTCCTAATAGCCCCGTTTTTGGAGCGACACTCAGTTCCCTGTTGCTGATATCGTCCTTCATGATCACCTTTGGCGCGATCAGCTAACGCTAATAAAACGCTCGTTCTAAAGGCGCTGATAACGCAGACACAGACACGCGTTCTGGAAAACGTATCCCCGGCTCTCCGGTATAGTCACAAAACCAGCGGTGACCCCTTCTTACCGCTGCTCAGGCCACGGAGTGCCCTTCCAGCCCGCAGACCTCTTAGCAACGCCGCCATATCAGCTGCTCACAGCGGCGTCACCACCGCGCGACTGGCTCCCACAGCGGAAATCCAGTCAGAGCATTTCAAAATAAAACGCCTGAATTAGGTGTGTATGTTTGTGTGTGTGTTTTTCATGTCTGTGTCCCAGTAATCATAAACTTGGCCATTATTGTAGCTAAAATTTACATATGGAGCGTTTAATTTCCCAAACTCGAACACTCTTTTTCAGTGTTTATACATTTAAACTCAATCACGCCTGTAAATTACAATAAAACTAAGACCATCGAATTATGCAAAAAAAAAAAAAAAAAAAAGTGATTTTAATACATTTAATAGTTAAAAACTTTTCCATGAAAAGGTTTGAAAAATATATTTTGGATTATCCTGTATTAGGTAAGCATAAACCTATTGCGTCTAAATTAATTCATATAAAGTCAAGTAATGTATGAAGAACCTTCACACAGCCTGTGGGCCAGGTTCAAATACTTTACTTTGAAAATAGGAACCGGAAACACGCTCTGACGTAATTGTAGCTGAGTTTAACTGCCATCAGGACAGCAGGCAAGTCTTCGTGTAGGATCGGTTTACGTTTTGTTTCTTTAGTTAATTCTGCCACCAGAGGCCTTTTAGAAGAGCAGTAGACAAACGTTAAGCCTTTGATACTGCGGGTAGCCGTGTACCGGGAGCTGCTTGGTGTTCACGCCGTCGTTAGGAGCTGATTACGAGCCTCTGCCGGTGCTGCGTCACGTTGTTTGCTCCTCGGAGCTCCTGAAACACCGGAGTCAAGAACAAACCTCTAATTATTGGTATATCACGTAAGCGGTTTTCTGTTTTGCAGACTTTAAACACATCTCTTCACTGTCACTTACAGAGCGACAGGGAACCTTCTAGACCTTTGTACGATAACATTAGAATAACATTTTGTAATTTGGCTCTGATTGGATCTTAAAGGCTTTTTATTACACTCATTTGCACTTCCACGTTTATATTAGAATAGCTTTACATTAAGATTCACACTTATATAAATACCCCTTTGATTTGATTTTTACTGTGATTTTTACTTTAACTAATAATTAGTTAATGTAAGAAAACATGCCTTTCATGTATATTGATAATGTGTTTTTAGGAATTCTCGAATGATATTGTGCCCATCTTTGAAGCACTTTGGGTCAGCTTCTGTTCTTCAAATGTTCTGTAGGATATGAATAAAATAAACGTTACAGTCAATACAAAATTTTCAGACATGTTTCACAGTGCAGGTTTGAGGTATGCGGCCCAGGACAGATCCCCTAAAGCTTCCTCAACATCATCTACCGCTGAGTAATTGCATGTCTGAGAGGATGGTGTGTCATGTATGAGTGCTTGAACACAATATGAGGTACCTGTGCTTTTGGTAAATACACCTTTAAAGCTCACAGAACACGTGGAAAGACAGAGATGGCAGTTTAAAACAATTCCCACATAGTCCAGTGGAGCCATGTTCCAAAAGACTTGAAGCTTTAACAGCTGCCAAAGAGGCTTCTGCAGAATACAGAATCAAGACTCTGTGTAAGTGGGAGTGGAGTTGAGCACTGGATGAATCTGTTGTGTCTTAATGTTACAGACATGCCAGTTTGGCCTTTCTTGCAGCCTGGCTGGTTCATCAAGTTACAGACCTTGGGTTGAAATTTTACAACCTCCACAGACACCAAAGCTGCAGTTTCTTTTCATTATTGTTTCCACTGCTGCTTGTTTCTAATGAACAGCTTAGCTTCGACCCGGCTGCTGTTTACAGAGTCAGAGAGTCTACACGATAGCAGGAAGAAAGAGTTCACTTGCTGTTGATTTTCCCAGAACAGCAATTACAAAATTTACTTTTTTGTTTTTGTGCAAGTACATGTGGGATTTATGTTGTCATGGTGGAGGCCACAGCAGCAAAAGGATGGAATGCTGCAGTAGTCATTACCTACACCTTCAAACACACAAACTTTGATGCTGCACTTTCAGGTATAAAAACTTGAGTTCACTTCCTCCAGGAAATCATGGCAGACCTTGGCATCAGAGCAGGAGACCATGTGGTGCTGGTGTGGGCTCAGCCTTCAACACCTACAGCCCTGAAGCAGTACGCAGAGGAGCTGGGAGCGGTCGTCGGTCCGGATGGCAGAGTGGCGGTGGAGAACATGGACAGGCTGCTGCTGTGTGAGTTCACCTGATCATTTCTTTTTAACACATGCTCTGACTTCCTTCCACTGCTATGCTGACGACTGTCAGATCTATCTGCCTCTGAAGCAGAACGATGCCTTCTCTATTATTAAGCCACTTTTAGCATGTCTAGAAGACATTAAATCTTGGATGTCCCTAAACTTTCTAAGATGCAATTCCAGCAAAACTGAGGTCATTCTGTTTGGTCCTAGTG